TCTATCCAGGTGTCTTCCATCCTACATCTGTGCAGTTCATTTCTTCTGCCTCGCTGTAGGACCATACCTTTCTCCCTGTTGAAATTCATTTTGTTAGTTTTGGCCCAGGACTCCAATCTGTCAAGGTCATTTTGAATTTTAATCCTGCCCTCTGGGGAATTAGCAACCCCTCCCAATTTGGTATCATCTGCAAATTTAATCAACATACTCTCTATTCCTTCATCCAAGTCATTGATAAAGATGTTGAATAGCACAGGGCCCAGAACAGAACCCTGAGGGACCCCACTAGCCACCTCTCTCCAGGACGAAAGGGAGCCGTTTGTGAGCACCCTTTGGGTTCGGTCAGTCAACCAGTTACCAATCCACCGAACAGTAGCACCATTAGTGCAGTGGTCCCCAATGTTTTTGACACCGCGGACCGGTTGGGGGAGGATAGGGGCCATGTGCAGGGGAGGCGGGGCACCCTTTGTTCCAGAGACTCGTCCCAGCCGTGTTTGTCTGCCTGCAAAGAGGGCAAGTAAGCGCCTTCCCCGACCAGCTGCCTTGCACCCCAGCTCTCTGCTTCAGGCAGGCCAAGCCTTTCCCTGTCCTGCCAGCAAAGGCCTGGAACACAGCCTTTCTGCAGATGGTGGGTGGCGGCGGCGGGGTTTTTGGGCTATTTGGCCGCGTCCTTTTCGCCAGTCTCTGTGGCCGGCATAGAACACAGAAAGGAGTTCTGTCCTCTGAAGAGGCCGCCCACAGAGATTGTAGGAAGAAAAACTTCCAGAACATGGCCAAACAGCCCAAAATACCTACAACCACCCTCTGATCCCGGCCATGAAAGCCTTGGAGAAAACTCGCAGAGTTATTGGTGCTGATCCAGGCATGCACCGCAGATCTAAGAATTAGGAGGCAGCCTTCTTGGTAGGACCAAATTCAACAAGAATGGGCTCTGGCTGCTCTTTGGGGCCAGACCGCGGGGGGACGATGACAGGTGGGGTCTGCCAGGGCTGCTCCCTTCTGCCCCCCCTTCCTCTTGCCGTCTCTTTCTCCACCCACCCACCGACCCACCCCACAAGGCTGATACTGCCTGGCCTCATGTTGTGTGCACGCCCCACCAGGAGCCAGGGGGAAGTCTTAGCAGGAGTCAGGGCCCAAGAGAAGCTGAGCCGATGGACGGACTGCCCCGAAGAAGCCTTGCAGGAGCTAGCCGGTAGGCAAGAGAGGGGAATGGAGGAGGAGGAGGAGGGAGCCTGCCCCGCCCTCCAGCAACCCCGACTGGGCACTGAAGAAGCGGGAGGACCCATGTCTGCCTGCGCTTCCACCCTCTACAGGGACCCTCCTCTATGGAGGCCACGTCCTGGACAGTGGAGATGCTCAGGCCGTGCAGAGCCTTTGCCGGCAATGTCTGGCCTCGGCCGCCCACTTGCAGCCTGGCTCCGGCCTCCAAAGCCTTCTGGCTGCAGTCCTTGGCCGTCCCAGCTCAGGTGAGCACGGAGGATGGCATGGGAGGGGGAGGCAGTGGGCCCCGATGCCACGGCAAAGCGGCTGAAGGAGGCACCCCCTCTTGGCTCCTCCATCGTCTTCCTCCTGCTCAGGGCTCTCGGAAGAGGAGGCCGCGGCGGCCACCCAGGGCCGGATCGAGCAGCTGCCCCGCCCTATAGATCCAGCGTGGGTGGGTCTGTGCAGCGGTCTGCAGCAGGAGCTGATGGCCGAACGGAGCCGGGCTCTGCTTTCGGCCCTGCAGGTGTCCCAAGGCCACTGGAAACCCCCGAGCCTCCCCTGCCAGCACCAGCAGGAGGAAGCCCTGGCGCAGCTGGTGCGGCAAGCGCTGGGGCTCACCCGAGAGCTGCAGGAGAACCTTGTCCGCTGCGGCCAGGAGGTGGGCGTGCGGGGCCAGGCCCTCCGTGGGCATCCCCGGGGCAAGGTCCGCCCCCTGCAGCGATTCCTCCTGGAGGAGGCGGGCAGCTTCCTTGCCTTGCTGGAGCAAGTGGGCAGGGATCTCTGCTGCACCCAGGAGCGCCTTCAAGGGGGGGGCGGCTGCTCCTCCCCCCGCTGCCACGCCATCCTTCAGGACCTGCAGCGAGGCCAAATGCCACGACCTTGGCTGCCCTATGCGCCCACGGGGGCCCAGCCTCTGCCCGCCTGGCTCCAGACCCTTCAGCGCCGCTGCCAGCTTCTGTGCGCATACCTGGGCTCCCTCGGGGGACAGCAGCCAGTGGCCCACTTCCAGCTGGCTGCCTTCCTCCACCCCCGTCGCCTCTTCCTCGCGCTGCTTCAAGAGACGGCACGGGCCGAGAAGCAAGACGTGGACACCTACCACCTGGATCAGCTGGTGAGAGGGAAAAGGCCCAGACCCTTCAGCGCCGCTGCCAGCTTCTGTGCGCATACCTGGGCTCCCTCGGGGGACAGCAGCCAGTGGCCCACTTCCAGCTGGCTGCCTTCCTCCACCCCCGTCGCCTCTTCCTCGCGCTGCTTCAAGAGACGGCACGGGCCGAGAAGCAAGACGTGGACACCTACCACCTGGATCAGCTGGTGAGAGGGAAAAGGCAAGGCAATAAAGTGTTCCACATCTTCTCTGAATAGCTTGTTTCAAGTTCCAAAGCCTTCCCCAACATTAAGTGGAAAAGTCTGTGCTTATAAAGCACACTCAGCCTTATCATTTGTAAACACAAAGCATAGCGGCTCCACTGACCTACCTATCTCTAGCTCACATGTGCAGAAGCCAGAGATATTGCCATTCATGGCACTGGGGATTTTGCTTGTACAATGAAGTAGTGAATCTCCCCTTGAACCAGCCAGGCCTTTGCCCACAATGGACCCCTCGGTTTCCCCAGGTCCTGCCGAGCGTGCTGCCCCCCAGCAGTGCACCGGAGAAGGGGGTGTACCTGAGCGGCTTGGAGCTCCACCATGGCCTGTGGAACCCCCGCACCGGACAGCTCCAGGAGACGCCTTCCACGCAGCCGTGCCCACTGCCCACCGTTTGGGCCCAAGCCAGCCGGCAGCCGTGGGCCACAACGCCTGCCCAGCCTGGCTACCAGTGTCCAGTGTACTTGGGGGCGCCTGAAGTGTCGGTGCCTCTCAGCAGCCGCCTGGCCATCATGTCCTTGGCCCTCCCGTCCAAGCTGTCCCCAGACCTGTGTGCCCAGCGGAGGGTTTATGCCGTCAGCCTTCTGCAGTGAGGCCTCCAGGGTGCAAAGCCAGGGCCCCGGTCGCCCTGGGGCCGGGTGAGGAGACCGGGCCATGGCCTGTGCGCACCCTGGCTGCGTTGGGCCAAGTGTGTGTGCACGCGCGCGCGTGTGCAACCAGAGCCAAAAGCAAGTACAGAAATAAAGTGATATATTATGAGTGTGTACAAAAGCAGCCCCCGGTGCTTTGCTTCTCTGCCAGGCACTTCGGGCCCCCCATGTCCAGCAATCAATAAGGTGCTCCAGCAGGCGCACCCCATCCCACTGCGGAGACGCCTGCCTGCAGGGTCCCCAAACAGCCTCCCTTTGCACTGCCCCCCTCCCTCACTTCAGATCCACATCAAAGTCCAGAACCAGCAGCTTTGTCTCCTCAGTCCCATTGCGGCTGCCCACAGCGCACACCAGCTTAGTGTTGGACGCGCGGATGCGCCAGACCACCCCTCCACTGCCCCCGCTCTCCAGAGCCACCAGGTTGCGCACAAACTCTCCGGTCTTCAAGTCCCACAACTTGACCGTGCCGTCATCCGAGCTGGTCACCACAAACTTGGAACTGAACTGAAGGCATGTGACGGCACTCTGGTGCTTACTGGGACCTGCAGGCGGGGGGGGGATGGGGGCCGCCCGGGGAAGAGAGAGAGAGAGAACGAGAGAGGCACACACACCCTCAAAACGCTGCTCACAGTGCAGAGAGAGCCCATGGGCCTTGGAAGGGCTGCCCGCCAAAGCCAGGAGGGGAGGGGAGGGGAGAGGTGGGCCACCCCCTCCCCCCTCGCGGTCATGGCCGTGGCAATCAAGTGCCGATGGCCCACTTCTTCACTGCGACAGGAAACCAGCTAAGCCGTCGGCCCTTTTGGCTACTGTGGCAGCAAAAAAAGAAGCGTCCCTGTGACTGAATCACATCCCTTCTCCAGCCATAAAATTCCAGAATTGCCTGCTTTGCCTCCAGGTTGCAGCAGCCTGGAGAAAATCTGCTCCAGAACCCGCCGCCTCTGCCCCCCCCGCTCCCCCCTTGCTGTAGCTGCCCCGATCCATGCACGTGGGAGGCCTGGAACAAGAAGCTAATGGCTCTGACCGGCCGGCTGCTGTTCTGCCCCATCCTGGCAGAGGAAAGCCACACCACGGCTCTCTCCCTTCCCTCCCACCCACCTCCACCCCAGGCCAAGGGGAAAAGAGCCACGGGTCTCGCTCACGGCCCAAAGGGGATGGCCAGTCCCCGGCGCCTCACCTTGCAGCGTCTGCAGGCACTGGCCTGTCTTAATATCCCAGATCTTGACGGTGGAGTCGGCATTGCCAGAGACCAGGATGTTGTCCCGCAGCTCCATGCCGCTGGTCAGGGACTGGTGGCCCATCAGGGTGTGGAGGCAGCTGCCGCTCTCGGCGTCCCACACCCGGATTGAGGTGTCCAAAGAGCCGCTCACAATGTGGGTCCCATCAAACTGGAAAACAAGCGGGGTGGGTGGGGGCACTATCAGGGACAGGTTCCACCTAGAAGGTGCGAGAAGGAACGCAGAGCGGGAGAGGGACACGTGGAGGCCGGCCAGAAGGGTCTCACCTGCAAGGAGTAGACCCGGTTGGTGTGGCCTTGTAAGGTGTGGATGCAGCTCTCCGTTTCTGGATCCCAGACCTTCACAGTATAGTCGTAAGCGCCGCTCACCACCTTGCGCCCATCGTACTGGACGCAGCGCACGGCGGCCACGTGGCCCATGAGAACGTGGAGGCACTGCCCGGTCTCAATGTCCCAGAGGCGCAGGGTGGCATCCCGCGACCCACTCACGACTCTGGCAAGAGAAGACCACGGCACAGATTCAGAGCCCCCGTGCACGGAGAAGTGAGGGAACGGAGGCGTCTCCCCCTCGGGCTACGGTCTGCCCACCTGCCCGAACCAAACCTACCTGGTGCTGTGGAGGTGCATGCAGCGCACCGTGGACGTGTGGCCATAGAGTGTGTGCACGCAGACCCCCGTGTCAGCATTCCAAACCTTCAAGGTCCGGTCTGTGGACCCACTGATCACAATGTTATCCCTCATCTGGGAGGACCAGACCCCACCAGTATGTCCCACAAGCGTCTGCACACACTGTGGAAAGAAGACCAGATGCTCAGATGCTGGGGACCAGCACCTGTGGCCGGAACCAGGCCACTCAGGGCCACATGCAGGGGCTAACCCTAGCGTTACCTCTCCTGTGATGGCTGACCAAACTTTGAGTGTGTTGTCATCTGAGCCGCTGACAATGCGGTTGCCACAGAACTGGAGACAAGTGATGACGTGGTCATCGTGGCCTTTCAGGACCTGTGCCGGGCAAAGAGCAGGTCACAAACACACCACAGTCCCACCCAGACTGGAAGACTGAACCTCAAGGGAGCAGAACAACCTCTGAGCCTCTGAGCTTTCCAGGAGCTGAGCAGAAAGCCCACTAAAGGACAGCTCACCGCCAGCTCCGTAACTGCCATAGGGAACCGAGGCCCCGTTTTGTGTTACCAGCCAGAATGTGGCTCGGCCCGTTCCCCCCCCCAACCAAGGCCTCCCTCTCCACCTCCCCCCACCATGGGGGAAGTACTACCAAGACCTCCCCAGAGCACCCTCACTTCCTCCGTTGTGAGCAAGGGACCGACAGCTACAAGAGTGATTCCATGCGGTTGCCTCTGGGACTGAATCAGGCCCCCGAGGCTTTGCCAAGCCATCCCCCAGGAATCACCCCGGCAGGGCAAGCCCAGAGGCCGGCAGCTCCTCCCAGCTTCACCTGGCTTTCCAACACCCCTTCTGTTAACGAAAGACACCCCCCCAAAGTTTTGGCAGCCGGCGCGCCCCTACCTTGGGAGGCCGGGCGTCCCCGCCACGCCAGTTCATATCAATGCGGTGCTGCCGCAGGAAGGCCAGTTTCCAAGGGCTGTACATGAACCCGGGGCTCAAGAGGCGGCGCTTGCGCAGGCTCAGGGGCTCCTCAATGCCTGCCGGACAAAAGGGAGCAGGATGGAGGAGATGCACCAGGAAGGCGTGGGGGCTCGGGAACAAAACTGGGCTAGACCTCACCTCCAGAAACTAGGCCTCACCTACATCACGACACTTCTCTCGCCATAGCAGGTTGTCCTCGGCCAAGATGCGCCAATAGCGGCATGTCTGAGCAGCACGGAGCAGGTCCCGAGGCTCCAGGAAGGACAGCACGTAGAGCGCCAGCTGGAAAGAGAGCAGGAGGCACACCGTGGCCGCACTGTGCATAGGACAGGCATGGGGTGCCGTTGCTTACCAGCCAGCTGCCACGGGGGAACCCGCTGCGCCACAGAGGCCGCGGCAGAAAGGGCGTGTGACGCGGCCTAGGGCAGGTCGTCCCTAGGAGGGCTTCAGCCGGGAGGAGACCCTTCCAGGCTGGCAGCCCCTCACGAGACCTGGAGCAGGGGCCATGAGACCGGGAAGAGCGGCTGCTCTGCTTGTGGATTCCTGCGGCTTTTGCCAGCTGGGGCAACCTTCTGTGGTGGGGGGGCTGGGGAAGAACCCTCTCCAAAAGTAAATGTAGAACGGCTTCAGCCCCCTCCTGACGGAGACTGGCGATCTGAGCAGGACCCAAGAGCTCGCTCCACCCATCCAACCCACCCACCCACAGGAAGACCAGGCTGGCCATGGCCATCAGAGCAGGACACGCTGTGCACCGTGGAAAGGGCACAGGTGAGTGAATGCCCTGGATTCCCGCACCAGCTGCCTCTTCGTTCCCACTTTCCTTCGGGCAAGCAGAAGGCACAGGCCTGCCTCCCCCGCCCCCCCCGCATGACTCCTCTGCGGCCCTGTAGCCACCACCCTCGCCCCCTTGCCCGCTGCGTTCTGCCTGGGGTGCAACCAGAACTCTCTTTTCCCTTCCTAGCCTCTGACTTTTGCCAATCTTGCCCTCCAAAAGGGGCAGGCTTCCTTCGCCCGACTGGACTCCACTGGCCAGAATATGAGCTCTCTTTCTCCATGGCACCAAACGTTATTCAGACAGTGCTTTCCCACAATGCCTTGTGGCCCTGCCATGGCCGCCCTGGCTCTTTCCGTTGGCTCACATGCTTCTCCCTTTCCTCAGGACCCAAATGTTGGCCTCCAATTCATCCCTGCTCAGATCTCCGCTTAACCTAAGAAAACTGATTTCTGTCCCTCCCCTCTCAGTGTTTCCTGCTGGAGATCCTGCCCCCACCAAATAGCCCAACCTCAGAGAAATTCACCTCTTTGGGCAAAAGTGAAATAAAATCTCGCTGGAACTGTGGCTCAATCACTTGCATCATGTGCTTGATTTGCGGGGGCTCACACCGGTCAATCAGCTCATCCAGAGCCAGCAGCTTCTCTGGTCCGCTCCACCGCTGAGAGAAAAAAGAAGAAGAAGAAGAAGACACTAGAAAAGCTAGAGAGGGCACGCCGCGTGTCCTATCTGCTCGTCATATACACAGACTCCATCTTTTGACCAACTAGGACAGACTCAGGAACTGGCCTGGCCAAAGCACAACAGCCTTCCAAAACCCCAATCTCTGGGGGAAGAAAAAAAGAATATCCTAGCTAAACATACATATTCCAAATGGAAAATCAGACTAGAGAATGGACAAGTGAAAATGGAGAGGCGGAAAAATTGACAAAAGTATTGAACAAAAACAAGGTCAAGAAGAAGGAAGTAAAAGAAAGAGAACAGTTAGTATAAGTTATAAAACGATAGTGCATTCAGAATCTGATCAAACAACGATGAAAAATCAGTGGCAGGAAGATCTTAAATAAGAGATAAAGTAACATAAATAAAATTAATAACAATAATGAAAGAGAAGATTAGAGTAAGACAGGGTCACAAAGAACAATGTAAAAGCAAATTATTATAAGGTAGCATGGAGGGTATTTAACTCCAGCAAGATTAAATATACTAAGTAAAAATTTACCATCTCAATGCTGGAGACGCAAAAAGGAAAAGGGGACCTCTATGCACACGCGGTGGACGTGTGAAATAAGAAAGAACAGGCACTGGTTTTTAAAGAAATCAGAGAAATTATTGGATGCAATGTGTAGGTATTGCCAAGTATTGCCCTCCTGAATATAATTAAGAATGACCATGTGAAAAAAGATCAGAAAGAGTTAGTAGTTATAATGGTTACCCCAGCAAGATTAATATTTGCAAAGAATTGGAAGAGTGACAAACAAATTAGTCTTGAAAATTGGTATAAAGAGATATAGAGCTTAGCAATTGATGATAAGTTAACACGCATAATGAAAATAAGGGGAATGGTAAAGGCTAATGATTTCAAAGACGTATGGAATTTATATCTAGAACATGTTTTTTCAAAGCAGAAAGTTCATAAGCCAGGGAAAGAATCCATGTACTTTTGAGAGATATGGGGTGAAAACTTGTAAAATGATATTATTGGTTACCCAGTCTGGAAGGTGAATTTCTATTTTAAGTTAGTTTTGTTATTTTTAATTTCTTTTAATAAAACTCCAAAAAATCCCGAACCCTCATAAAAACAAAACCCCAATCTGCAGAAATCCTTACAAATGCCCACCCCCAGCAAGTATAAAACCAGCAGTACAATTCTGGGGGGAAATGCACTGACAAGCATGAGATGGGACTGAATTCCACCACCCCGGTCACCCCAGGAAAACGTCCATGAGGGGCCTCCTTGCTTGCTTCTCCCCCTTAGACTCACCTGAAAAATGCGAAGCCAGTCCTGTAGTTCAGGGGGTGGATTCATGGTGGCAACATGCCGGCAACGGGCCTGCCCTGCCTTGGCACTCCGCAGGTCCCCAAAAGTGGCGGTAGGACTAGCAACACAGGGACCCAGCACCCTGAGAAGGAAATCTGCACATGAGGAGAGCCGAAGGCAAAGAGAGAGAGCAGGGATGGGCCCCCCCTTCCGCTGCTCAAAGATGGCCCCCCCCCTTCCGCTGCTCAAAGAAAAATACGAGGCCAGGGGCCAGGTCAGAGGAAGACTTGTGTATGACGCCTTGTAAGGAGCCCGGTGCGTGCACAACCCCACGCAGAGGTGCTCATCCATACCTGCCTCTCTCCACGCTCTTGCATAGCTTCTTCCCCGGGGACTGGGCTCGGCTGTCCAGGCCATTTTCCGATTTGCGCTTCATCTGTAAGGTAAACGGGTAGTGATGGTGGGTGGCTCATGACGCCTGATAACGGCAAGCAGCCAAACCAAGCGGCTGGCCGGATCCCCCAACAACAACAACAACAACCCCCATCACAATGACCCTTTTAGCGCGAGGGGCTTTCCCTACCTTACTGTCTTCCATACTGCTCTTGCCCACAACAAGCTACGGAGGAGAGACCAGCAGCCGGGGGAGGGGGGGGTTACACCACAAGATCCAGCTGGAAAGCCCAGAGTTTCGAATTGGGGTGCTGCCGTCCTGCTTCCCTCTCCTGACAGAGTCAAATGCACTTGCCAGGGTGTGTCTCAGCCTCCCCCCCCCCGAAGCAAACCTGGCTTTCAGAAGCAGCCACCCCCTTGGGTATTCTCTGGGTAACCAGAGACACTCTCCACCAGCAGAGCCTGGTACCCCCGCCCCATTTGCTCTGAGAGAGGGAGAGGAGAAGGTGAACTTCCAGTCTCTTAAGCTACTTACTCTTTTTTTGCATTTTTATTGAAAATGTTACGCAAAAAAACACTTCTACATTACACGAAACTATATCCACTAACATTAAATTGCATTCCTCATATGCACATTTCTCCTAACCTCTGCCACCTTCCCCAGAAGTTTCAAACACTGGGAGGCAAAGAAGGGCGCAGGATGTAACTCTGGGGCACAAATCCCACATCCCCACTCAACAGTTTATGCTGCCACACACAGAGACCCCAGTAATGCGCAGACCTCAAGTGCATGCATCTGTGGCAACTCATCTGCACCACAGGCTGCTCTCAATCCTACAAAAATGATCACTACAAAGAGCCAAATTAATGCAGAAAACATTTCTTGTCCACGTGCCATACATGGAGAGCCACTGAGAAAGACGCTGTTGCCCTGCTAGAGATTGCCGCCTGTAAAACCCATTCCACAGGGATGCTCCACCCAAAGAGGGAGCAGCCGGTTGCCCTGCTGGCCCCGAGTGGCTGAAGGCGGGCAGAGGCTCGAAGGCCCAGGGCAACCGTCCAGGGAGGGGAAGCCCTGCCTCTGGTCCATCACTTCTGGACAAGAGGGTCAAGAGCACCTTCTCCTGGAGGGTCCCTCAAATTGGGGGGGGGGCCTGCATCCCAGACAAGGTAGGGCTGAGCGCCTCCTCCAGGGGACAGCAGCCTCTCCCCACCCGAAGGGCACCATATACCCCCACCCCCGGGGCCCTGGCACCTCGGAAGGGGTCACAGGCTGGAAACCCCCTTCGCCCACCACCTTCCCAGGCTGCTTTAGGCACCTTTCACAAGGCAGGTTTGGCCTCTCCTCCTCCTCCTCCTCCTCTATTGGGTTCCTGGCCAAGCGGCGCAAGCGAGGTGGAAACGGGCTGCTCTCCATCACTGACCAGGGAGCTGTCTTGGTCCACCTCTCTAAGGAACCCAGATCGGGCCCAGGCACCTTGCAGCGGGATCCTCCCTGGAGGGGAGGGGAGGGGCCGCCTCCCTCCCCCCACCTCCGCCGCCGAGGCGCTCACCTTGGGCCGGGTGTGGTGGCGGACGAAGCCCCCGCCGCCGCTGCCGCCGCCCTCGGTGCGCTCCAGGTAGTCGATCCAGCGCTCGTCCACCGTGTAGTAGAAGTAGACGTCGCCGCCGGACGCCTCCTCGCTGTCCCCGTCGCTGCTCTCGCCATCCTCCTCCGAGTCCGCGGAGCCCCGCGAGGGGAACCCGGGGCTGGACCCTCGAGGCGCCCGCTCCTCTTCCTCTTCCTCCGCCGCCGCCGCCTCCCGCTCGTCCACGGGCGTCGGCGGCTCACGGGCGCTCCTCCGGGGCGCTCCCTGGACGGGC